CATCCTTCCTCAGAACAATACCCAGTGACTACTACCAGAGCAGAGCCCTGGCCCATTTGGTCAAGTATTTTGGATGGACTTGGGTTGGAGCTATTCGAACCAATGATGATTATGGAAATAATGGCATGGCCACATTCACAGAAACTGCACAGCAGCTGGGCATCTGTCTAGAGTATTCTGTATCTTTTTTCAGGACAGATCCAGCAGACAAAATACAAAGGATAATTGACATTATAAAGGCTTCAACCTCCAAGGTGATCGTTGCCTTTCTGTCACACATGGATATGGATGTGCTAATGTATGGGATGTCCCAGCACAATTTGACTGAATACCAGTGGGTAGGTAGTGAGGGATGGATAGTTGATTCTGAAATAGCAGCACTGGATATACATCACATACTGAATGGTGCCATAGGCCTTTCCATTCCAAAAGCACATGTCAGCGGCCTGAGAGAGTTCATGCTTAATCTGAAGCCACTCAATTCATCTAATAATGAATTGTTTACTGAGTTCTGGGAGGCATTATTTAACTGTAGGTTTAGGCAGTCAAAATCATCATCAGACATTCAGAGAGAGTGTACTGGACATGAAGATGTGACTGGAGTTCAAAACAGCTACACTGACATGTCTCTCATGCCTATCTTTAACAATGTCTACAAAGGAGTGTATGCAGTGGCCCATGCACTTCACAACATCCTCAGCTGTAATAAAACATGTAACAAAACTGTGCCGCTAGACCCATTCACGGTGAGCTTTTTAATAATTTCAATTATAAGTTATCACATTACACAATAACAATCACTGATAAAAAAAATGTTTTCACAGTTTGAAAAAATAATTTATTATCCATGTCGTATAGCCAGTTAGTTTGCAAAGTTTTTCTCAGGTAATTAAATAAATTAATGTTGTTTTATAGATTTTACAGCACATAAAAAACAATTACTTTAAAACAAAGGAAGGAGAGGAGGTTTACTTTAATGAGAATGGAGATCCAGCCGCAAAATATGAAATTATAAACTGGCAGCCAAGAGAAAACGGCGTTGTGGAGTTTGTCACAGTTGGTCTTTATGATATATCATTAGCTGCAGAAAAACAGCTATATCTGCAAAACAAGTCTTTAATTTGGGCAAGAAACTCAAAGCAGGTAAGGTATCAGTCTAATTAATTACAATAATTACAAATTCCATTTTAATAAAATAATTTGGCACAGGAGATATAAACATCTATTGGTTCTAATATTAAATACATTTTATTAACATGGCTGTAAGGGCAATATTATACATGTTTTTCTCATAATGCCTTTGTTCATGCAGGTGCCTGTGTCAGTTTGTAGTGAGAAATGTCCTCCAGGAACACGCAAGGTTCTCCAGAAAGGAAGGCCTGTTTGCTGCTATGACTGTATAAGATGTGCAGAAGGAGAGATCAGCAACATTACAGGTTATGTTACAAGTGTTATATTCAGTGTACACTTTTGTATTTCTTTTGCTCGCTGTGCCTCAAAACAAAAATTTTATCATTATTTGGTTATGTTAAGTTCTTGCTTTACTGTTTGGGTTTTTCTTTCAGGACTATCTGTCATGTAAGACTGGAACTGTTTTTAATTTATTTAATAATTAAGCAAAGTTATTGTATGGTGCCTAAGTCTAGAGAAGTAGAGGTATACACTGGAGAGGTGAGGAATGAAAGCCAGTGGAAGCAAGTAAATGAAAGAGGGATGGGTGTAAAAATGAAAATGCAAGGAGTAGAGATAGTGAAGGCAGATGAATTGAAATACCTGGGATCAACTTTCCAAAGCAAAAGACGGTGCAGAAGAGAGGTGAAGAAGAGTGAAGAGCCTGTATGCAGTGGTTGGAGATGAGTGTCAGGGGTGATTTGTAATATGTTGATATTTTTTTGGCAGATTCAGTCACCTGTGTGAGATGTCTCCCTGAATATTGGTCAAATGAGAGAAGAGATGCATGTATAAAGAAGGAAGCAGTGTTTCTATCGTATGAAGAAATTATGGGAGCACTGCTCACTGCAGCATCTGTATTTGGGACATGCACAACTGCTGGTGTGGTGTTAATTTACTTCAAACACAGAAAAACTCCTATTGTTAGAGCCAACAACTCTGAATTGAGCTTCCTGCTGCTCTTCTCCTTAACTCTGTGCTTCCTGTGTTCTCTGACCTTCATCGGTCAGCCCTCTGAATGGTCCTGCATGCTACGGCACACAGCGTTTGGCATCACCTTTGTCCTCTGTATCTCTTGTGTTTTGGGAAAAACAATAGTGGTTTTAATGGCCTTCAGAGCTAAACTTCCTGGTAGTAATATGATGAAATGGTTTGGGCAGACACAACAAAGGCTCTGTGTTCTGGTATTCACTCTTGTACAAGTTATCATATGCATTGTCTGGTTAACAATTTGTCCTCCGTTTCCATTTAAGAATTTTAAAGAATTTAAGGACAAAATTATTTTAGAATGTGCTCTAGGCTCAGCTGTAGGGTATTGGGCTGTTCTTGGCTACATTGGACTTTTGTCTGTCTTATGTTTCATTTTTGCTTTTCTGGCTCGGAAACTACCCGATAATTTCAACGAAGCCAAGTTCATCACTTTCAGCATGCTGATTTTCTGTGCAGTATGGATTACATTTATCCCGGCATATGTCAGCTCTCCAGGAAAGTTCAGTGTTGCTGTAGAAGTATTTGCTATACTTGCTTCCAGTTTTGGACTGCTGATTTGCATCTTCATGCCCAAATGTTATATAATCTTACTGAAACCAGAGAAGAATACCAAGAAGAACATGATGGGAAAGAAGGCACCCCATTTATTTTGAAAAATGAAAACAATGTTTTCTTTGCATTTGTAACATTTATACATAATTGTTAGCCAAACTGAATAGATGGTTCTCTGAAGTTACTGAAATACCTGTCCAGTCATAGCATGAATGCAGTATATCGTTGAAAACAACTGTGATTAGATCATATAAATATATTAGCCTTATATTGTATGCCATATGAATTATACAATATACTATAATGCTAATAAAACTGTGATCAAAACATCTTTTGCCTAAGGTGTGCATATGTCTCTGGAGGCTACATTGAGCCATGACAACTTGAAAAGTGTATAAAGCTCCAGTATGAACTGTAAAGCTGATTGGGGTAATGTTCAGGCAACAGCAGAGATATGGTATTATTGAGACTGCTACTCTTCATTCTATTACTGGAGAAAGGAAATTCTGCATGTCAGCTGCAAGGCTTGGCACAACCACCTGAACTAACCCAGGATGGGGACCTTTTTATTGGAGGCATTTTTTCATTTCGCACAGGCCAGGATTATGTAACTAACACATTTCAGACAATGCCAGAATTTCGAAAATGCAAAAAGTATGTATTGTTTATCCTATATCCTATTTTATATGAGAAATGTGTTAAATTTACATTTCATTTTAAATAGTTTATGCTTGTGTGTATTTTGTTCTAAATTGGAACCTTTAACATAAAGTTTTTGTTACTTTTATTAATAATTACAGCTTTAATTTTAAAGAATTTCAATTTGCTCAAACAATGATCTTTGCCATAAATGAAATCAACAAAAATCCCCACATGCTGTCTAATATTAAACTTGGCTATAAGATTTATGATAACTGTGGAACCATGGACATACTGAGAGCAGCACTGACACTGCTGAGTGGGTTAAATAGACAACTCCGTGAGGACACCTGCACTGAGGCGGTGCAAGCAATCTTGGGACATTCTGGATCAAGCCCAACTATTGCATTTGCACAGGTTGTTGGAAGGTTTCAGATACCTGTGGTAAGTCAAAGAAAACAAGTCATTGAAGTATAATTTCACTTTTCATATGGCACTTTTGCACCTCTACAGTTCTCTCGCAAAAAACTCTCGCAAGAGTAAAATTATAGCTACAGGTAATGCATAAGCCTAAAATGGCAATATTTAATGTTTGCTCTGCCAATGCTATTCAGATATTTGTATATTTCAATGCAGATCAGCCATTTTGCCACCTGTGCCTGTCTGAGCAACAGGAAAGAGTACCCTACCTTTTTCAGAACTATTCCCAGTGACTACTACCAGAGTAGAGCTCTTGCCAAGCTTGTCAAGCACTTTGGATGGTCCTGGGTCGGGGCGTTAGCTGTGGATAATGAATATGGCTTCAATGGCATAGCAGCATTTATCCAAGCTGCAAAAGAATATGGAGTGTGTATTGAGTATTCTGAAGCATTTTCATCATCAGATCCACCAAACAGACTACAGAGAATAATAGAAATCATTAAGCAGTCCACTTCCAAAGTTATTATGGCTTTTATGTCTCACAGAGAAATTAAATTGCTGGCTACTGAGCTGTACACGCATAGCATTACAGGACTCCAGTGGATTGGCAGTGATGCATGGATCACAGATCACTCTCTGACTGACAGTGAGGGACACAAAATCCTGGTGGGCTCATTAGGCTTCACCAGCCCTAAAGCTAAGATCTCAGGGCTAGAGGAGTATCTAAAGCAGCTCTACCCCTCACAGTTCCCTGATAGTCAGTTTGTTAGGGAATTCTGGGAAGAAGTGTTTGACTGCTCTCTCAATATATCTGTAAACACTCAAAAACAGCCATGTAGTGGCCATGAGAGCTTGCAAAACATTGAATCACAGTTCACTGATGTGTCTGAGCTCAGATTTACTGATAATGTCTACAAGTCAGTTTACGCAGTGGCTCATGCTCTCGACATGCTGATCAAATGTGATAATGATCAACTGTCCTTTTCTAATGGGAGCTGCATTGACCCCAAACACATTAAACCATGGCAAGTGAGTGACTGTCAGTTCATTCTGACAATATGATAAGAGTTGAAATGCTTAATTTAATTTCTATGGAATTTCATTTTTAGGTCTTACAGTATCTTAACACTGTAAATTTTACAACAAAAGAAGGGGAAAGGGTGTATTTTAACAAAAATGGTGACACCCCAGCAAGATATGAACTTGTTAATTTACAGTTTACAATTCGAGGAACAATGGAGGGAAGAACCATTGGCATTTTTGATGCGTCTCTTCCAGAGAGAAATCAGTTTGTCATGAACAACATCCCGGTTGTCTGGGGCAATGGGTTGACTGAGGTAACATAGAAACTGAAGTTTGAAATCTTCATATAAATATTAACTTTTATGTTTTTTAAATTCGTATTTAACTATAGAGATAGTACAAAATGAATATGATTGTTTTTATTCCCGTAGGAGATGCCTGTGTCAGTGTGCAGTGAGATGTGTCTCCCTGGAACACATAAGGTCCTTCAGAAAGGAAAGCCAGTCTGCTGTTATGACTGCATACCCTGCCCAGAAGGAGAGATCAGTAATGTGACAGGTGAATAAATAGCAAAAGAAACAAAGAAAATTAAGCAGCTGGATACTGCATTGGTAAGACTACACACCTTTGGTGGAAAGTTCAATTCCCACCCACTATCCAGTAAGGGTCCTGGCTAGACCATCCATGCTGGAAAGGCGTGGCTATGTCTGTAGCCTGACCGCAGCTCGGACACAAGCATTTCACTACACGTTGTACTCTGTATGATTGTGTATGTGACAATTAAAGGTTGTTTGTTTGATAATTCCCTACTTTATTTTTATTTTTGCAGATTCAATACACTGTGCGAAATGCCCACCAGAGTACTGGTCAAACAAACAACGAGACGCCTGCATCCCCAAAGAAGTAGAATTCCTGGCATATGATGAAATTCTAGGGTTGGTGTTAGTGTTATTTTCATTGCTGGGAGTTTTTCTAACTATGGTTACAACATTAGTCTTCTACTGTCACAGAGAAACCCCAGTAGTAAGGGCAAACAACTCTGAGCTGAGCTTCCTGCTGCTCTTCTCCTTAACTTTGTGTTTCCTGTGCTCTCTGACCTTCATCGGACGGCCAACCAAATTGTCCTGCATGCTGCGACACACAGCATTTGGCATCACCTTTGTCCTCTGCATCTCTTGTGTTCTTGGTAAAACAATAGTAGTTTTAATGGCCTTCAGAGCTACACTTCCAGGGACAAATGTGATGAAATGGTTTGGCCATCTACAGCAGAGACTCAGTGTTCTGGTCTTTACTTTTATACAGGTTTTGATATGCATACTTTGGTTAACAATAAACCCACCTTTTCCTTTTAGGAATTTACTACTGTATAAGGACAGAATCATTTTAGAGTGTGATACAGGCACAGCTGTAGGGTTCTGCGCTGTTCTAGGATATATAGGATTTCTGGCTATATCATGTTTTGCAATTGCATTTTTGGCTCGAAAGCTGCCTGATAATTTTAATGAAGCAAAATTTATAACCTTTAGCATGCTGATATTCTGTGCAGTTTGGATCACATTTATCCCCGCCTATATCAGCTCACCCGGAAAGTTTATTGTGGCTGTAGAAATATTTGCTATTTTGGCTTCCAGCTTTGGACTACTTTTCTGCATTTTTATACCAAAATGTTATATAATCCTGTTTAGGCCAGAACAAAATACTAAGAAACACATAATGGGAAAGACATCAAATTATGATATACAATATTAAGAGTTTAAATTTCAGGGCTGGGTTGCAACTACACAATCTTCCTATAATGATTGTTAATGTGAATAAATGTCATATGTTGTGAGCAGTGTGACAAGTGAAAGACAGTAGAGTTACATTTGTGATGATTAGTCCAACCATGATGTTGCCAAATACACATTTTGTATTAAACTTACACTTAATTCTATTTGTTTGTTTTTAATTTATTTTGATCATCTGAACAATATACAAAGTTCATTTAGCAAAGTAAAGAAGGAGCGAGAAAAAGTGCAAACTTATTTAATCCCACCTCCACATTGTATGTGACATAACAAAATATATTGAATAAAGTACCCCTAATTCCATCAAATATAAATCATGTGCTTCACCTTCACCTTCACACAACATTGAGTGGCGTACCTCTATCTGAACTTTTGCTGGCATCTGCCTTCTCTTTCCCCATTCCTTGTTTAGGCCCATGTTATACTGCTCATTTAGATTGAACAGTACATAATTGAAACATTATGTTTTTTGATTGGCTGGATATCGATTGTTATATGCTTTACTTCACAAATATGTGCATTCATTCATACTTGTTTAACCTTGAAAATAATTTAACTTAAAAATCTAACATAATGCTAATCTAATACTCTGTCTACTAGTAAAACTGATAATGGCTACCCATCATGAAAAATGTTAATAGGAATTGTTTAAGATTCATGTTGCTATGAACTTTTGAGAAAGTTTTTATTAGGAATTGTTCTTCACTTTTCGTTAATGGGGTTCAGTAATGACCAAACTTCTATTCTGAAGTTCAAATGAACAATGATGCAATACAAAATAAAAGATTGCACATACAAAAAAAAAAAAACAACAAACAAGAAAAACTGAGGAAGGCAAATAAGTGCACATCTGTTTCAGGCATGACTTTATTACCCAATAGATATATTCCAATGGGACAGCTGCACCAGAGTCCAATAAAGGAGCCACATGGGATTAAACACAGAAACAGATTGCTTCATCCTTTAACACAACAACAAGAGCAACAGGTGGCATATTCCATCAAGCAGAAAATAATAAGGTCTAATTTAGTTAACATCTTTGTCACAACATGTAACTGTTACATGTTTATTAAATTAAAAGTCTTTGTTTTGATCTCTTGGTGTCTCTTGCCTCCTTTCTTTCCTCTGTTTGTTTATTTAAGGTATTATCTCAGTGCTACTGAACTGTGCCGTTCCTTGATCCATAAGTAATTTAATTAAATTTTATTTCAAACTCTTTTTCAAGTTTGAAAGTTTTTATTGAATTGTACAATATTAACATAGGTATAATGAAAAGGCTTTTGATTAATAAGAGAGTTCTGGCTTTGTGCTGGGAATAAGTTTGTGTCTTTAAGAGCTTAAATCAAAAGATTTTATAATATTATACCATACATTTTGAATTCACTGACAAATGTACTATAGTCAAGTTGTAGTACAGTACACACACACACACACACACATACATAAAATAGTAACAGCTGCATTTGACATCTTGCAGTGCCTTTATACCAAAAGAATACAAACTAAACAATCTATTTACTAAAAGAGTAAAATAAATGACAGCTTATGCTAATTCCAAAGTTACGAAACGTTATCCAACTGTTAAATATAATAATTGCTGCAAAATATGGGGCAGTGGAATTGTATTTGGCAATTTTCATGGGTATTTTTTTAAGGATAATCTAATACCAACACGGCCTGTGTGAACAGAGGTTTCTTATTTACTAAGTTAAAATAAATAAATAAAAATAACTTTTAAACTACAATGATAACCTGTTGCAATCCCATTCAATCAAATTATAAAAATACAAAAGTATTTTCTTGAGTTTCTTGAGTTGATAACATGGGATTGCACAGTAACAAATTTCAGTCCTTCCAAATTCTTTTACCACTTTTCGGTCACAACCCTAGAATGGGCTGTAGTTTCTATATTCCTTTGAAACAAACTTAGTCCCATGATAATTTTACAAAAGGACCTTCTGAATCTCTTTATTTCTTTATATTTTTGCAGACATTTTTGATCTCCAAAGATGGAGATTTAGTTGCAAGGCATGAATGCATACATTTAACTCACATATGTTCAAGGACCGTGCAGATCATGCATTTTTAAGCAGCAGGTGTCTCTTTAAATTAAAATGTCACTTTAAATTTTGGGGTCTTCAGTCAAAATTTCATATATGCACAGAACTTCCACATCCACCATAATAACATGAAGCAAATATTTAAGCACAGTTTAAAGTACATATAACTCTTCCATATTCTCATGCACACTGTTCCTGTGTTACTTTACAGCCATAGTTGCCTTCCATTCCAGGGACTGTTGAAGGTAATACATGATTGCTTTTATGACAACATTCTTTGTGCACAACAAACATTAAGAACATTCCAAATTAAATTTTGGCCTTTGCTATATCTATAATATGCTTTGTCTTTTTCCTGATTAGCATATTAATTTATCAGTAAATGTTGTCTCTTTCTAAAAATAGAAATTGGTGGGGATTCTCAACTGTCAGACTGATTACTAGCTAATTGTGAGAAAATACTAATAAATATAGAGACTTGCATTCATGAAAGCAGAAACTACTTTTTTTTGTGCAGAGCTCCTGTGGATCTATTTAACATCATTACTTTTAATAGGCCTGATCAAGTAGTGACCAAGACCTCTGCTGAGCTTCCTGCATGGTGCCATATACAAAAATTTGAATCACATTTATATTCTTTATTGCTTTCTAAGGAAAACAATAATTGGTTTAATGGCCTTCAAGACAAAACTCTTAAGGAGTAATTGATACTCTTGCTAAAAATCAAACCTTTTTTTTGTCATTATTAATTTATAGACAATATTTTATATAAGCTAATAATCATTAATGACTAATCTGTAAGCATATTTAATAATGATTTTAGCAACTGTGTTTCCTAGGACACATTCCTAATAAAAGAACTTCAACATAATCTACTCTATTAACAAACAAATTATATATATTAATAAAATTGTTATTATT